GTAATTATACTGTCACATTTTTAATTTTTAAGTTTTCTTTTTTTTTTTTTGTAAGTTTGGAGTTGCTCAACATGTCAACCTAGGCAGTGAGTTCTTTTGGCTAATTTAATTTATTAATTTTTTTATTTTAAATATTTTTTGTTTGTTTGTTTTATATCTATATAATATTTTCGTATTTTACGTATTTATTAAGTTTACATATCTATTTTTCAATGATTGTAGAAGATGAATATTTTTCTTGCTCTTCCGATGATTACGAAAGTGCGCAAAGTCTTAATTCTAGTCTTTCTGACTCTGATCCTCTTGAAGATAAGCTTTCTAATATATTTAGCAATAACTCCAAATTTCTTTCCCTAGTGCACATCAACGCGCAGAGCATTCCCGCTCACTACAACGATCTTCTCACATCTTTTAGCGCCGGCGTAGTTGATAGTATTCTCGTATCGGAAACTTGGCTGAAGCCTTCATTACCTTCGACTAGCTGTTCCATTCCAGGCTACAAACTCTTTCGCAATGACCGTACGGGCTGCGGGGGTGGTGGTGTTGGTGTTTACCTACGTAGCCACATTCCTGCTGACGTTGTTTGCAGTTCTCAGTCACAGTATACTGGATCTTTGGAATATCTGTTTCTTTCAGTAGTAGTCCACCATAAAAAAATTCTGCTTGGTGTTTTATATAGCCCAAATGACAAAACAGACTACTTTAACACCTTGGAAGGTACTCTTGTAGACTTGGTTCCCCTTTTTGATCATGTTGTTCTTATGGGCGACCTAAATACTTGTATTCTCAAGAATAACTACCGTTCGGATAAGTTATTAGCTTTGACGTCTGCGCTTGATCTCCAAGTGCTGACGACATTGAAACCGACCCATTACTTCCCTAACAGCAGACCTTCCCTGATTGACTTAATGATTGTTTCTCACCCTAAGCTGGTCCTTTCGCATGGGCAGATGGATGCTCCTTTTTCACATCACGATTTAATTTTTCTCTCTTACAGAGTGCGTCCACCTAAAGTTAAAGGAAAGGTCCGTCTATTGCGCAATTTTAAGCATATGGATCTTGTTCGTTTGAGAGAGGATATTGGTCGGGTTGACTGGTCTTTGCTTTTTTCGTCTGACAGTATTGACGTTAAGGTTGATATTCTTAATACTGAACTTGTAAAAATTTATGACTCTCATGCACCAGTACGTCCAGTACGTGTCAGACACGCACCAGCTCCTTGGCTTTCGCCTGAGATTAGAAGGGTTATGGTGAAGCGTGATAGAGCCAAGTGCCGTCTAAAACGTGAGCCCTCTCTATTAAACCTCGAAGCCTATAAGAAGTTACGAAATCTCTGCAACAGAATGTGTAGGGATGCTAAACGCCGTTATATTCATTCCACCATTCAAAATCTTTCTCAGGCTCAGGTCTGGAAATTTTTGCATTCTATTGGCGTGGGCGAGTCCATGGATGTTTGTCAAAGCAACGTGGATCTCAATGCCCTAAATTCTCATTTTTCGACTCCCCCTGTCATTCTTAACCATCTTACTAAATCCAGTACCCTTTCTTCTCTTTCTAATCTTGTTCCACCTGTTTGTCCCCCTTTTACTTTTAACATGGTCTCAGAAGAAACTGTAATGAAATGTGTCCGCTCAATCTCCACCAAAGCCATCGGCAGTGACAATTTGAGCCTCGACATGATTCTACCTGTGTTGGAGGACATTGCACCTGTTGTTACTCATATCATAAATTATTCTCTCTCGCGCAATGTTTTTCCAGCACAATGGAAAAAGGCTTTTGTTATACCTCTCCCTAAAATCCCAAATCCTACATCACTTTCACAATACCGTCCTATTTCTATTCTTCCTATCCTCTCTAAAGCTCTTGAGTCCATTGACACTTTATTCTCACCTCATCTCCCATAACCTTTTATGTCCATATCAGTCTGGCTTTCGTCCATCTCATAGTACTGTTAGTGCTTTACTGAACATTACTGAAGACATACGTCATGCTATGGATGAAACGAAGCTCACTGCTATTGCTTTGTTGGATTTTAGTAGTGCATTTAACTCCGTTGATTTGGACATTCTCATGGGTACTCTTCAGGCTGTTAATATCTCCTCTACTGTCCTTAGTTGGTTCTCTTCTTATCTCTTTGGTCGCCAGCAGTGTGTGAAAACTAATGATGGCTCGTCATCCTGGTCTAATTTAACTGCTGGTGTACCTCAAGGCGGCGTACTTTCTCCCTTACTCTTTTCAATTTTTATTAATAATATTTCCCGCGTAATTTCTTCTCCCTTCCATCTGTATGCTGACGATCTTCAACTCTATCGTAACTTTAAGGTAGGTGAGGTCTCTGAGGCAATTTCGGCACTGAATTTCGATTTGTTGGCTATCCAGTCATGGGCTAAGTCGTTTGGCCTCTTAATTAATCCTGCTAAGTCGCAGGCCATGATTGTTGGTAGTAGCAGAATAAGATGCAAGCTTGATTGGTCCTTAGTACCTGCGTTGGTCTATGATGGAACGTCCATTGCATATACTGACAAAGCCAAAAATCTAGGCATAATAATGGATTGTACCTTGTCTTGGACCTCTCATGTTAATGAGGTCAGCAGGCGTATGCACCACTCATTTCACTCCCTCAAACGACTCCAATATTTTCTCCCTTTTCATACTAAAATTATGCTAGCGCAAACTCTTCTTCTCCCCATACTTGACTATGCCGACGTTTGTTATTTAGATGTGACCGTGGAGCTTTTAAATAAATTAGAGCGCTTACAAAACCTGGCTATTCGGTTTATTTTCGGTCTCCGTAAATATGATCATGTTTCCGAATTTCGTGCTCGGTTAAATTGGCTCCCAATTCGTCTTCGCCGTGATGTGCATATCCTGTCCACTATTTATAATATACTTCGCGACCCTAACTCCCCACCCTACCTTCGTTCCCGGTTCCAGCTGCTGCCCCCTCCCACCCGCTCTAGACGTCCCTGCATCACTAAGACGCTCGTTCAACCCAGCTGCAATACTAATTTCTTTTTTAACTCCTTTTCTTGTCGTGCAGTGCAGTTGTGGAATAAACTCCCTTCCCACATCCAGGCGAGCCCGTCGATTGCTTCTTTCAAGAAAAGTTTGAAAGCGCACTTTCTTGCAGAACTTTCTTCGTAATCATCTTATTGTTTCTTAATTATTATTATTTTTTTATTATTATATATTTATATATATCTATATATATTATGATGATGCTATTTATTATACGTTATTTATTGTATTTATTTATAATACTTATGTGTGTATCGGTATTTATACAAATTATTTCGATAGTTTATAGTATTTCACCCTCTCTATCTTGCACGCTGTTGCCCGCTTACAACTTACGCTCTCACCACCATAGGTTGACTGGAAGAGATCTCTTTTAGAGATAAGTCCACCTTTGCTCACTTTTGTTCACAGATTTTTTCTTGTTGTTTGTTTTTTTGGTGCAATAAAAATCAGGATTTTGGACACGTATATATAAACTTGATCCCAAATGCCAATTAAGCGACATGGCTGTGTTCCGGATTGAAGGGTAGCTAAGAGACCGCAATTATGGGTACAGGACACTTAAGAACTTATGTCCCAAGACGGGCATTTGGGATAATAAGGACACTTCATTATAATTTAAACTGTCTATATCACAGCCTCAATCGAAAAGTAACAACTACATGTAACAGCTCCAAATCTTTCTACATTATTTTTAATTATAGTGACCCTCCCAACCGACCCTTAGGGTATACGAGAAGGGCACTATAAACTGTGCGTGCAGAATCTTGTTTCTGACGCCAGATCAGCCAGTGTACAAGGTTGCCACAGACCTTTGTCACTGACTTCATCCGGTTCTCAAGAGGCTAGTGGCTCGGGTGATGCGCCCCGGTTGCACGTACAGTGCCCTCCTACTTTCCAGATAGGTACCGAATTTGTAGGCACGGTCACTTCCCGTTGCGCATTGCACAACTAACGGATGCCACCGCTAAGCCGTCGACTCTAAAGTCCACCACCAAATGTCGTCGTTGGTGGCAAAATAAACGTCTAAAAACGTCGAAAATGGGAAAAACGTCGTCTCTCCAGTTCCCTAAGCGGCTGGAGGGACGGGAGGATACGTAACAGTAAAGTTTTTGGGTACTATAAATAAAGTTATTGGGTAATATATCGATTCTTTCGCATCTTGGAGTACCGAGGTCGCTATCCGAAATCTTCAGCGTCTTCTTGCTGCTGCAAGACTTAGAGGACGCAGACGCTGAGATTCCTGAAGCAGTTCAGGTGCCTTGAGTAGGACCCTCCACACACCAGACATATCACTTTTTTAACCGACTTCAAAAAAAGGAAGAGGTTTTTAATTCGAATGTTTTTTTAATGAATGTTACGCAATAACTCCGTCATGGCATTTGTGAACCAATTTTACTGATTCTTTTTTGTTGGAAAGAGGGTACCTCAGTATTGGCCCTCAGTATAAAAATAGGCATGCAATTTCACATGAAGGTAAGTATTTGTATTTGAAGGTAAGTAAAAATCATTTCATAAATGTACATATATTCCATTAAATAGACTTCTCAAGATTATTTACATTTGTTTAAGTACCTAAACAAATAGACTATAAATGAAGTTTTGTCATATTTTAATTTTTTTCAAACATATCTAGCCAGTTTCCCAAAAATGATTGCACTTTATTACTGAGGGCGATATATGATACTGTGAATATCTTCTATCAGTCTCATTATATCATCCAATGATATTGTCTGATATTATCTGTCTGTCTGTATACCATAAAAAACACTTACTTGCAAACAAAATATCGGATGACATTAGCGTGACAAACGAGTAAGGTGAAGCTGTCGTCCTTCTGTTCCTTGGATGCGCGGTAGAAATAGCGCCTGAAACCAGCTTCGATGCGGGCGCCCTCCTGGAAGAACTGCTACACTTGCCAACAACAATAATTACGAGTTAGTCACCACTGTCCATTTGGTATAAAAACAAGAATAAAAAGAAAAAAAAGATAGATAAACAAGGAAAAAACAAGTACATACATAAAGTAGTTCTAACACTCACGTCCAGTTTTTCATAAAATAAATAAATAAAAAATCTAGAATTTACAATTATTACAATAATAATTATAGTAGAATGGTAAAAGCAAAAATTTTACAAAAAACAAAACTAAAAAGATAGATCAAGTACCAATAATAATAAGGAAAATTTAAGTTCAATACAAATACAATATAAAAATAATGTATGTTAAAATTATGGTTTACTATATTTTGAATACAAAATAAAAACGTATGGTAGAATGAATGGGCAGGTGATACTAACTCTTCTATAACGCAATTTATAAAAATGAAGTACTGTGAGACACAAGCATAATGGTAATTTGAGCATTTAAACAGATGTTATTTTGGAATCTACACCCAGTGCACGTATGGTAGATTCTCCCAGACACTCACGACTTTCTACAAGTAACAGAATATCTAGTTCTTAGGTTTTCACAATTGTTACACATAGGAAATTGGACTATTTTATTCAGATCTACATCGCGTATATTTGTTTTTTCAAACAAACCAACGGCCCTTCACAGGTCTCGTGGTCACGGCTGACAGACGCAGTAAAAAAAAAGAAGTTTCATTTCCTAAATAAGTATTTTAATAGTATTTTATGCAATCGTTGCCGAGTAAGCTCACCCGTTACCACTGAACACATAGATGTATATGAGAAGAAAAACATTTTGCAACTACCAAGAGTTCTGGGTCCCTGGTCAGCTTCCTGAAGAATCGTTCATTTATTCATTGCCACCGTATGTTATAAAAGGCCTAACTTTACATGTGGTCATATAGACCCCGTTAGGGCGCGTTCCCATTATGTCTTAATGTGTTATTTATCGCTAGACGACTGTCGCGTCTAACCTGTTTCCTTCCATATCACGACTATCTGTCGTGACTGTGTCGTTGACGTGTATTTTATCGTGGAATGACTGTAGTGTCACTAAATCGTGAGGACAATTTATCGGTTCACGGTAGCCGCCTTGTCGTTTGCACAACAGAATCGTTTGGTACGATTATCTGTCATCACATTTTTATAATTACGTTTTATTTATCGTCAGACAACTGTCGTTCTCGCTCTTCCCATTATCACGACAGTTTGTCGTCGTAACGTCAAAAAAGTCGTGAAGGACAATTAATCGTGTTTTACTATAAGTGAACAACTTCATTTAAATATACAAGCCACGACACTTTAAACTTCAAAACTATCTGGCGTCGAGAGATAATAGCAACGCGCCCTTGGGGCACTGCAAGATTTAACAATTTTAAGACAGGAACTTATGATTACTTACATTATTTATAAGTTACACGCAACTATAACAGACATATACTTCAAGTGGTATAAGCAGAAATTGATCACATAATTTCGGTTGACAACTCAACAGCGAGGTCTGAAGTATTTTTTTTTACGTTTTAATAAACTCTCTCATTAACTTACAGTTCGACCCTAATAACAAGAGTCCGGTTAACCGGGTGTCGCGATCTCTGAAGTCCCGGGTTCGATCCCCGGCCGGGTCAGAGCAGAAATCTAACGTTTCTATATTGTCTCGGGTCTGGGTATATGTGGTACAGTTGTTGTTTTCGATTTTCATAACACACTTTACTACTTTATTACAACGTGCTTTAGCTACTTATTTTGGAATCAGTAATATCATTTATTTTGACAGTATTGTTACGGATGGAATGTCGAACGAGAACGAGATTAGATCCCCAGAAGCGGTATCTACGTACGTTGTTTTTCACTAAATAAATTTCTGTAAGGGATATTGCAACAATATTACTAAATGGTTATCACTAATTTCAGGTTTCTAACCACGGTATGGTTTCTTTTTATTTTCCAGGTACTGTCGACAAAACGTCACTACACTACGGTTGGTACGGCCGTGGTGATGGTTTTAAACTGTTCAGTGCATGGACTCCAGTCCTTAGTGCTTGCAGTAATAAAAACAAAAAACACCTCGAGTTCAGTTTCGCGTGTGGGTACAGTGAGTGTGGTTTGTGTGAAAAAAGTGAGTGACAATGGTAACGCCACAACATATCGACGATGAAGGTAGTAGTCGTCGACAGCGCAAGAGGGTAGACAGATATGTCTGCTCTTAAAGCTGCCATCTATCGCCGTCCAATCAACCCGTGACCATGGAGCGTGCAAACGTCCCGAAATATCAAGAAAATAAAAAAAAGTCATATTGGATAAGAAACCTGAAATTAGTGATAATCATTTAATGAATAACCACGAAACCCTTATAATCTATATAATATTACTAAATGTAATCAAAACACCATTCAAACGCATTTATATCACTGGATGTGTACAGAATGAGCGATAGTAGCGAACTAAGAACTAATATAAAAATGGTAAAACGACAAAATGTTAGCACCGTTAGTAACTAGTTGCAGTTTGCGGTCATTGTTCTTAAACCTTTTAAATGACAAAAAATAAAATCCCTAAACAATAGGATCTGTTTTCTGCAATTCTGATTGCACACATTCACAATCCTTAAGGTGCTCAATACTTTGGGCCAATGCTGTATATTCAGCTGATAAGGGTTATTATTGTTTATTGCATCATATTTTTAATATAAATAATAACTTTGTTTTGTGTACTTGTGCCTCACAATAGTTATTAAAGAAAAAGAAGAAAATGTTAAAATTTACTTTTGGTTCAGGTTTCCAATGTCCCACTGGTGGCTCTGGCGGTATCGGTGCACCTTCTTCAATTAATTGACAGTCATGTATTGGGATATTGCAATCAAGTTGCTCACTTATTATTCCTCCTGTCTCCTGTGCCCGCATCATTGTTGATCGTACTAGGAGATCGAATTTTATACCAAGAGATGCCAACCTTTTGCCTGTCTCTTCTGCTTGGTGTCTGCCTGTAATTGTGGTTATTATTATTATTATTATTAGGGTGGCTTCATTTAGGGTTGACACAGCCCTTCATCACTCAACACATCTGAACTTTTGTGACATATATAATAATAAGACAAGTATGGTAACTCTATACAAACGTAGCAGCGCGGCTTGTATGTATGCACGCACGCTGCGTGCCTTGTATGGACGCACACATTCGCATGATTTCGCGATGCACTCGCGTAGCATAGCGCGGGTCGTCTCACGCGCCAATAATTATAGAATTGAAGCGGTCGATTGATGTTGAAAAGTTGACATCAAATAGCAGATCTGTTTATTGTTGTGTTCGTAAAAATTCCTCAAATTCGGATTTGTTCAGAATTTCGTTGCCATTTCATAATCATAGTCCTAACCGATACACCAATCTGCGATGCTGGCTTGGTACATCAATACACAAGTATTGCATTTAATAAAGGCTATTTCAATATAGTACAACAACACTGTGATGAACACCTTAATATGTTTCTCAAATTATGTTTACAACCTGTAGGTACAACTAAAATAAATTGTAACAACCCAGCACTCCAAGCCGAGTGTAGGCATTTACGCGTCGAACAGGCAGGAGTTGCCCTACTTACTCTTATTAAACTATGATTGTGACCACTAGTAATTACAATTTGGAACTATGTCCAACAGCATTAAAGAACTGAAGGATGTTTGATGTCCTCTTGCTGTGGCCTGTCTTCCCTTGGAGCTTCATACGCGCATCTAGGCGCAGCATTGGCTTAGGGCATGCAGAGGAGTTTCATCTGCCAGATTGTGTGATTATGAAGTCATGAACCTACACGCAATTATTTCAAATTCTTATGTACAGTCAAAGTTTGTTCTATTATTAACAGACAACCTTCAGATATTTTAAGATATTACAGGGAAATCTACTATTTGCTTTACATTTAGTTACCACATATTTCATGCAAATGTTTCCTTTATATACACTGTTGATAAACCAAATATAATTACTTAAATCGCTTGTATTATAAGTTTACTTGTACTATGTTAATTGAATTCATAAAAAAACAAATTGAGAAGATTGTTCTTTTCTCAATCAGAGCTTCCTGTTTGTGGTAGTGGTGTGAGAAGACAACTCTATCAGTGGCTGGGGCACCTACAATAGGACGATATTTAAATAAAAAATATTTCTTCTATCTAGTTCTCTGATGTTTGTTTTAAACCGTGTGTCAAGTGTGTCAAATGTGTCAAGGCTTCTCTTACAGTGTGCTGAATAAACACCATAGCATGACTATCCCACATCACTCATTACCATGCTGAACCAATTTGTTTCATACTAGTCCATTACGTAGCGTATGTATATTCTACACACTTAGAACTAATGCAAGTTTTTCCAATGCAGGTTTTTATTGTAAGACTACTTTACACACCAAACTCAAAAAGGTTAAAATAATTCAAATAGGATTCAAAGAGAAATGGAAACAATTTTATTATTACCTAAATCAGTTAGTTTTTGTTCCCTATCGCTTGCCCCATTGACGTTATATTGGCCGTGCCGAATTAAGAATATGTGCCTCCATGCCGTTCCTTTTGCCTTTTCTATTTCTGAATTGTACCTGTTCTGCTCCGCTGGACTACTCAATTTTACAGGTTCCACTATGCAACAAGGGTCACGGCTAAAAATTATAATACAATGTAATTTAAATGAAGAATATGATAAAACAGGTACACCTAAGTAAATGTGGTGGACACGTTGAAACTGCAAGTAAAACATTATGAAGTATCTTAGAATCAGCTGACATGTAAAAAATAGTATCAAAATCATTTCACTAGCTTTTGTAAAAAAAAATATTACGGCTTGACTGTACAAAAACACTATGAAAACTGGACCATGGTCTAATCTGTCTGAAACAAGCATTAAAAACAATTTACAATAAAAAACATTCATCAAAGTGTTTAAAAATCCTGTACCCTTAGTAAATGAAAATTGTTTTGGTTTAATTTTCTCAAAAACGAGAAAGGAAAAAGTTTATAAAAATAAAGTGTTCATTAAAGTCTATCTGATACAAAGACAACTTATTACAAAATTGCAAAACAAATTACGTTTTAAAAGTGCCCTCTTTCCCACCATCTGAACAATATTTCAGACACACAAACAGATACAGGTACACACAAATGCCAGATACTCTTACCTAAATATGCGATATATATATCATGCATAATATGTATGTAAATACCGATTATCAATGGCCTACTGTAAGTAAACTAGGCCTATATAACCTCCAAACATTACTGCACCAAAAATATTATTGTTATAAACTTACTGGTCCCAATTCTTCTCCCACGGTTGGGAAGGAGTGTAATTCGTCGTCCAGGAGTTAAGCACGTTGAACGTACTAACATGTTCATCTTTATTCATACGATAATACGCCAGTCCACCGCCGATAGCACCCAAACTTACTAACGCTAATTTACGTAATCGAGAAAACGTAGCCATGTCGTCCAACTAACAAAACATTCACAATGTGATTATCTGTGTTATAGACTAGGTAAATGAAGTTAAAAAGAATCACCAATCATCAGTTTAGTCCAACACGACCGTCTATTCGATCTAACCTAAAATTAAGTTACAGTTTTTTTTTCACAATTTATTTGCCTAGGCAGAGAGGTTCTTCCATACAGCCTCTTCACACATGATATAACGTCTAAGGTTGTAACATTACAAAATATTACACACATATTATATTCTTATCTCAATAACTAATTTTTTCTCAAAAATTGTGTTAGGTGTGTACGTCATTTGTATGCGATTTAATTTCAAATTCCTCTTATGGCAACTTCAGCCAGATTAGGGGACAATTTTGACTGACGAACAAACGACATGGTCTCGTTTTCACATTTATTTTACAATAAAAACCAGTTAATTGTTCATTGAACATTAAAACAGTCTCGAGGTAATTATGGTCCACCACTAAGTAACACTGACGTCTCCAACTTCAATCCATGGTTTCTCACAAAAAAAGCAATAATTTCAGACAAAACGCAAATAAATGTATAAAACAGCACTGACAAAAATAATCTTTAAGATTTTTTCAGTAAAAGATATCGAAAAACGTGTAGAAAACTACTATCAAACGTTGGAAAGCAATGGTTTTGGCGCGTAAAACAAAAAATCCAAAATATTATCATACTGCTTTTTCTTGTGCCGGGGAACAAAAAAACATCAAATTATACTTAATACTAAGTTTATTGAGTATCACGATGTTTTACTACCATGATATTCAATTAATTTTTGTGAAATTACTCCACTACTTTGATAAAATTCTTAATACAATATTTATCATATCTCCTTTGTTCAAATATTGGACATCCAGGAATTACATTGAATAGGTGGGTATGAGAGATAATAAAAATTACTCAGTAATTCCATAAAGTTTATTCCATACATTGGTCTGTAGTTAAATGTTTTATACAATATCGATATTAAAGTATATAGATTAAAAATCTTAAGAAGAAAGATACCTAATTAAAAGAGTACAATAAGTAGGATATGTTCTATATTATAAGAAAATATGAACTGTTACTTACAACGGTTTTAAAATCACGAATTAGGAAATTATGCGTTGCGTATCTCACTCTTCATATCATTATACAATAAATGAGTATCAACTATTTTATCAAGAAACGGTCCATAATACATTAAAGAAAAAAATGTATTTATTTATATAATTTACAAGATTAACGTTGATGTATTCTATAAGTACCTACGTAATGATACTATAAAGAAGTTATTAAATTTTATTAACTATCTATGAACTTTCTTAAAGTGTAAAATTTAATGAAATGTTTGATTCAATTACAAGTTAAGAAAGACTTATCCAATCCTTTGAAGTTTAAATCGCCCCTCTCATCACTAACAGTCGTAAACCTATCTGACGTTTTTGTTGTATCTGGGATATACGATCTTATTAGATAGTATTCGCCACTCAATGTCTAGTCTACCTTATGAAATATTTAAAAATATTATTCATTAAAAAAATAGTTGGAAGCGAGGATTATTATTATTTCTGTATTGAGCATTGGATAAAGAGCCATCAGTTTAAAAAGGTAATAAATAATGATGGAACTCTAAACTAAAAATTATCTGTGTAAAAATTGTAATTACAAAAACCCGCCATTTTTTTCTATAAATAATAATTTCCCTCTGAGGAACAGCTATTTATTTATTTATTGAGCATTGACTATGAAACCTTCAGCTTAAAAATGTAAAAAATAATTAAGAAACTCAAAGCGTAGTAGTTAATGTACTTATACTAATAATTATAAAACTCTAAAAACCCGTTACTTTTTTTCCCTTTGATGAATAGTCGATTATAAATATAAATATGAAACGCAAAGCGTAATGTGTATGTGCCAACTACAACCAGCCATTTTTTTCTTTTTTTTATATATATTATTTGTATTTATTAAACATTGGCTATAAAACTGTCAGCACAAAAAGATAAAAAATAATTAAGAAACTCAAAGCGTAATTCGTCTAAAAACTATAACTGTAAAAACCCGCCCTTTTTTCCTCTGGGGAACAGCTCAGATGCGTGCTGTTTGTGTATGCTATTTACGACGTTAGTTACGAGAAACCGATATGACACACGTACCGTTGCACTCATAGATTATTAGGGTGGCCTACACGGTCTGCTCGAGCAGTTAGCTAATGATCAACATACACGGACCGCTCTTGCAGTCATAATCAACAGCTTGAGGCCGCCATTGATAATTGCTGGAGTAGTTGATACCAACTGCGGCAGTTGGTATCAACTGCTCAACAAGTCACAATTTCAATTTAATTCAAATGAGTAGGAACATGGATTTTGAGAAAGAAGCACTACTACTGCTTTTGCTCAGACGACGTACGACGAGCGCGTGTGGAGGGTACTGCACGAGAGTAGTCGACGACTGTAGCTTGCTATGTGGTCGCAGCTTGAAGCAGTCGATACTAGCTCCGTCAAGCTGCCCGTGTATGGCCGGAATTAGATGCTGATGTTGCACTCTACATTTTTTTTGTTACAACCGTTCTCGTAAAATATTTTCCTTGCATCAACGTCTCATTCACAGTGATTTATTTTTGCGGTACGTCACAATCGTTAATAGTAGTAGGCAATAATAGTAATTATTTGACATCGTCACTACGCTAGGTTAAGCAAGAGTAAGGTTAAAATAGCACTTGAACTGGTAGAGTTTAAGTAGCCGCCACTGGCCTGCACAGTGGTATATCGGTTCCGTCTGTTGTTTCATCATCGTCTTCATCATCACATGCGTCCTCTGGCTCTCCGAGAGCTCTCACAAACTCTGTAAAAATGAAAATGAATATCTGTATCTTGTGCAATCTAACAACGCCTTCCGAGTGTTGCTGGGGTTGTCGCGCTTCTTTAACGCTTCGGATCTTGTTGCTTTTATGTATTTAAAAAAAAAAACGCAAAAAATGTAATATAACTAAATGAAAAAAGCTTTTTCATTTCAATGATTTTGTGACATTTAATAACAAACAATCAATCTGCATAAAAATAATCAATCTGTCTTGCTAATCGTTCTGGAATTTTATCAATTTCTTACTACCTACTGACTATCTAGAGAGTTTAGAATGGAGTGGTTCGTTCCTCTTCTAAATGTGTCTGCTTCTGCAGCTAGCTTGACACATTAGTCGTCCATAATGCAGTCTGGAATATTGTGTTATGGTCGCCAAGCGGTGAAAATTTTGGTTTTGAGGTTTGGAGGATATATTCACAGAGACGTACCTATACAGAGAGATTTGTTGTAATACATTGCAACCAGGGGACCTATTATGATCTCTTATAGTAATCCTGATTAAGCACGTAAGTTGAATTGCCCGTCAAATGCGTTAAATATAGTCAAGTTCTATGCAGTTTACGTAGACTATTCAAAAGCCATCCACCTTTTTTCTCATAGCAACATCGCTGAGCACATTGTACGCACACTGGATTTTCGCTCATTGGATGCATGCAACTATTTTAGAATTTTAATGTTTTATTTGTTTTGTATGTTGTTAATGTTCTTGTCTTTTTGTATTTTGTAAGTTACTAACACTTGATCTAAGTACTTTTGATTTTTTGTTTTTTCTTTAAATTATTATGTCCCATTTCTGTGCAAAGATCTCCCCAAAATAATTTTTCTGCTCCCTGTGTTTGGTGATTTCCTCCACAAACCCATTGAGATCGTCTCGTCAATGCTTTCTCGATATTTTAAAGTGTGAAGAGAGAGGCTTGAATAAGAATAGAGATTGTAATACTATAAATCTTTATAAATGAAGATACAGTGTAATGTATTCTGCATCTTTTCACTTAGGTATAAAAACTTATAGTACTTATTACAACTTGTCTTCGTCTTCTAGTTGCTCTTTTCACTCTTCATTTATTTAGTAGATTTGTTATTTTAATTACCTGGAAATCTCATAATATGGCATATCAGTAATGAACACTCACCAAGGAAATCGATACGTCCATCTCCATCAGAATCCACTTCTTTGATCATATCCTCAACTGTGAACATAGAAATATTATTTTTAATTTACAAATAGTACAATTAGTAAGAGAGCTTAACATCAGCAAAAATTACTTTAGAAGCCTTGATTTAGAATTTTTTTGAGCAGGTACAAGTATTTCCAATCTCAATCAGATCTAATTTAGATATCCATTAGCGCGCGCTTATTTCAATTTTACCGCGCGCGTTACGACTATCATGCGTATCCATGCTACGGGGGCTGTTGTAGATTTTTGGTTTGGAAAATACGAATAAACGAATAGTGCAAGAGTGGTGTTCTCATTTTACAGGATGTTTCTCTCGTTGGCATTTAGTTAGTTAAGATGGATGTATGGAGTGACGAGAGTTTGAAAGTGGCGCCAGTGACGGAAAAGATGAGGAGTAATAGGTTAGCGTGGTATGGACATGTCATGCGGAGAAAAGAATGTCATGTGACAAGAAGAGTGTTAGGTATGAATGTGGAAGGATATAAGGGGAAAGGAAGGCCAAAGAAAAGATGGATGGATTGTGTGAAAGATGACATGGATAAGAAAGGTGTGAGTATAAAAATGACGGCTGATATGGAAGAGTGGAAGAAAAATACATGTTGTGCCGACCCCACCTAGCGTCGAATAAGGACAGGAAGAAGAGTTTCTCTCGTTAGCAAAATAATATATTAAATAAATTGTACCTACTCATTGACACTTTTTTGTGAAATAACCATAAACATTTGTTACGATTATCAATACAAAGATCGAACACAGAAAAACTTCGTCGGTCAGTTGTGATACCTGTAAAGGTATCGGCTGCAGTGAGAAGGTTATTCAAAAATCTGTAACTAGATGTCAGTACAAAGATTATAACAAAAACACATAGGAGAATTTTGACGACTCGGTAACTGGAGCCATG